TCTGATGCTGCCTGGTCTGCTGTGTTCCTCCAGCTCTACACTGTGTTATACTGTATGTTGACTTAGGGCAGTTAGGTACCAGATTGTCAAGAGGCATAAACAGACATGCTGTATGTTGACATAGACGGCTGCCAAAGAACTAGAGGTCACAGATTTGAAATTAATATGCCTCAAATCAAATTAGAAGGAATGTCCAGCTAAAGTCAATAAGGTAAATAATGAGTTGATTCACTCTTTCAAAACTGAGCTAAATAGTTATCTGGATTGGAGCTTATTGGCACGTAAATATGCACAACTGAGGTGAACACATATTCCTTGGGGCATAGCAAACATTTCACCGAATTAGGGGTAAAGTTAGACTGTGGTGTGGATCAATTTCAAATTTGTTACCACACTTTGCTAAGACAATCAACCAATGCAAGTTGTAATAAGGAGTCGCCCAATTAAAACAGAGATGAGGTAAGTTTATTTTCTCACAGAGGAGTGTGAATCCTTGGAATGTTCTTCCTGAAAGGATTGTGAAAGTAGAATCTTTGAATATTTTTAAAACAAAGGTAGGTGCGAGATAGTAAAGGGCCCAGAAGGGCAACTTTTTCACACAGACGGTGGTGTGTACCTGGAATGGACTGCCAGTGATAGTGGTAGAAGTGAATACAATTTTGTCATTTAAGAAACAATTGGACAGGTACATGGATAGGATAAATATGGAGGCATATGGACCAAACGCAGGCAAATGGGATTAAATTAATTGTGAAAACTGGGCGGTCTGGACAAATTGGGCCAAAGGGCCTGTTTCCATGCTGTAAACTTCTATGACTCAATGACTATAACCAAGAGGGTGAAGGTAATTGGGATAGGTGGGAAAGTGATTTTGAGGTTACGATCATGATCTTATTAAGTGATGGAGTAGGTTTAAGAGGCTGAATGGCCTAATCCTGCTCCTTGTATGTTAGAGCACAGGCATATCCATGTAGGAATACAAAGTTGAAATTCCAGGACTTTCTTGGTCTATTTGGTCCAGTGCCACATAATCATCAAACTACCACAGGAACTGCTAAATGTCTTCTTTTATATCAAATGCCAGTGCCAGAATTACAGTCGGCATCTGGTCCATGTGAATTTGTTTACATTAGAGGCTCTGTCAGATCCACTGCTGATCTCTAATCAGTCTTCACAAATTAATATACCATGCGCTAAAGATGTTTCTGGCATCAGTTCGTCCCGACAGAGAGAATGGTGCAAGTAATTAATGACTGGGGTGACAGAAAGACAGACCGGACACATGTTAACGCTGCCAATTCTTCCGGATTGTCCTAGAATCTTCAGGAATTAGAGATTAATCTCTTGGATACTGCTAAGAGCAAACCAGGAGAGAAAAGCCATTTGACTAACAGTCATGAGACATCCAATTGACTGATGAAAAGTCTTTTTGTTTTCCAATTGGTATGGGAACGGATATGTCTTACAGAACCATATGTTGGCCAATTAACAGGGGATGGTTTGGGCCTTGTTAATGGCAAGGAGTTTGACTCTTGTAATGAAAGTTCCAATCACAGTTACCAACACTAATAGTTACTCTCCTGCCTCCAAACCAATCCTGGCAAAAGACAAACCCCTGAAACTGGTTTAGTTTAACTCCCAAGGGCTAAATTGATGGTCAGAATTTAGTGCAGCTAATTTATTGTTGCTTTTACAACAAAAGAAATTAGCACTGACACGAGACCCATTTGTTCATCTGTACATGAGTTTAACCAGGACCGAGGCTGCAAACTGTGAATGTAAATCCCAACCAAATCAATTTAAGACTGAGTTTATGACTCATTCAAGGAATGTGACAAGATACTGTTACACGGAGACTCAAAAGACAGCAACTGCAGAAAAAGCAGATCAAATTCTACTCTCCAGTGGTGCCACTATTTTGCAAACCTAAATATGGATTAGTTTCAGCGAAAGCCTTACATTCTGACAGCCTTTGTGTTGAATCCCTTGAGCCTACTCATGATAGCATTCTGTACATGAACAGAAAAGTACTTTGCAATATGCCCTGATTAGCACAAACACGATGCTTTAAACATATTGAATTCTCGACAGCTAATGAAAGTACAACAGAGCTTCGCCTATTGGTCTCTGCTTCCCCATGCAATTAATTCACAGCTTACATTAGAAGTAGGTGCCAGTTCAGGGCTCTCAAGCACAAACAACCTTTATTACAGTCTGTTGACAAAGCACATTATGAAGGCTTGATAGCAGGTTGATAAAGTGAGTTCTCTGGTTAACAATTGCAGTGGGAGAAGAGTTATTAGCATATAAAATAACCTAGCTCAGGGCAAGCAAGTCAGTTCCTGTACTTCATGTACAGTGGGTGGTTCTAACTCCTCAGTGCTAAACACACCACAAAGCAGTCAGTCTCCACACGCAAAGAACTGGAGTGGAAGGCAAGAGATAAGTGGATATTGCCTTACTACAGTTGCTGTACTTTGAATGCCAAAAGGCACTTCTGCCACACTCCAGTGAAACAGAGAGGATAAACGTGTTTCACTATCAAAGAATTCAGCAGCTCCAGAAATCGAGGTGGGAAGAAGGTAAAATTTCAAATGTTGCTTGAAGTCTGTTTCGTATTTACTTGCGCTCAACATTGTATAAAATCAGAAAGGCATGCGATTCCTTTCCCGTCCAGAATGTAGTATCGCTGCGTCTCAGGCAGACAGTTAATGACTGTTCAAAGTACCTGCGAGTGAGTTTTGAAAGTGCGATTCAAATCAAAAAGTTTCAAAGGGGTCAAAATCTGTAAGAGTGAAGTTTGATTTTGTTTATGAATTTTAACAGAAGCGCTGTCCCACCCCACAATTGATTGTAAACTCTCAGACACTGCTCCTTTATATTAAAAGCGACTTTTCGCAAGCTTTTAAAAGTGAAATGTGCTCAAGATCATTGTTCAGCTGAATCTACTCAGGGTGAGAGGCAAGCAATTAAAACCGTCCGACACCATGGGTATACATCACATGGGAGGTCCGACAAATGTTACAGCATGTTTTTGGGTAGCAGTTCACTGGTTTATATACTGTTCATACTGTATAGATACATAGTCACTGTTCAGCTGGTTGAGTTGCATTGTCTGCCAAAATTTATATTCACAGTGTTAACCGTTTAAATTTCAGTTGAAAAGCTGTGCTTGTTTTAGCAAAGTTATTATTTTAGTGCAGTATGCTTTCCGGTGTTTAAAAAGAGAGCATTGTTGGATCATACTTTCAGATTGACTAAATTCATGGAACAACTTGTTAAGTTGTCAACCATTTAGTGTTTGAGTGGGCTGTCTAGAAATTCCAAGTCACCAAAGTCTTGCCTTCCAAAAATAAACTTCAAATGCTTCAACCTATCCTCGAAACTAATGAAAGTTTCATTGGTTTTCATTGTTGGCAAAATAAATCTCAGAATTATGACCCAATGCCCACCTTCCTGTGCTCCCAGTGTTTGCTCAAGTCCAGTTTTGAACTTGGCAAGTAGTAAGGTCTGCTACAATAGCCTCCTTTAAAAGATTAGCCTTGACAGACACCACAGTCGATCCATCTGTTGCTTATCCAGGCTTCTTATTTCAGAGGTTCTCTTCTTCTCAGTGTTATCCCTCTGTTTTTATAGAATCTACTCGATATTCAGCCTGATGTCAACCCATCTCACCCAGTAACCATCAGCTCACACTCTGTGTTCACTCCTTGTTCAGTGTCTGAAATTCCCATCTCTCGTTTGAAGCACCTTTATGTAGCGAGTCTCGTTCAAGTTTTTGCTGAAAGAAACAACAAACCTCACGTGAACGTGGTGCCTTTCCCATTCTCAGGTCATCACAAGTTACTCTATAATCCTTCAAAACAATAACAAGATAGGCCAGTTAATTGGTGCCTTTTCAGGTGTTTGTTGGTCAGGACGCTGGGAGAACTTGCCTCCTACATATGTGCTCACTGTTACATTCAAAAAGGCATACCTTGGGACTAACTAAGACCACAAGATGTAGGAGCAGAAGTAGACCATTCAGCCCATCATAGCTGCTTGGCCAATCAATGAGATCATGCTGATCCGATAATATCAATTTCACTTTCCCATCTTTTCCCCATAACTCTTGATTCCTTTATTAATTAAGAATTCATCTATTCTCAGATAAGACCATAAGACATGGGAGCCATTCAGTTCATTGCTTTAACATGCTTCCTAAATTATGCAGTCAGATCCTGCTGTAAGTCAGATGCATAACTGTTACCACTGAGTCAAGAGGACATTTAAAGAATCTCATTACACCGCTAATGCCTTAATGGTTTACTTTTGAGGACAGGGATATCGGATAACACTTGTAGTAAACTTGCTTCATTCCTGCTTTGCATTGTAGGATTTTAGGAAGGGTACACACCCCTAAATTTCTGATCCCTCCTCAGCATTTGAGGCTCCCAGTAAGATGTTAGCTCAGTCGGCTGGTTTGTTATGTGGAGTCATGCCAACAGTGCAAGTTCGATTCCTGCATTGGCTAAGGCTACCATGAAGGACTCTCCTTCTCAATCTCACTCATATCACCTGAGGCGTGGTGACCCTCACGTTATAGAACCACCAGTCATCTCACTCTCTAATGACACAACCGTCCAGGAAATCCACCCTTACTTTCGTCTCCTTCTGCAAGGTAATGGTGCCAACATTTTCTAGACAAGGAGAAAGTAACTAAAAAAATGCTAAGACACAAATTTTCTTTCAAACACATGTGCAGTACTGAGGGAATGCCGCACTATCAGAGAAGCCAGCATCTGGATAAGATATTGTACTGAGGCCCACTCTGCTCTCTCAGATGGATATAACGATCCCATGGGCACAATTCAAAGAAAACCAGGGGAATTCTCCCCAATGTCTTGGCCAATATTCATCCTTACATCAAAATCACAAAATGAATGATCTCTGATTACTATCACATTATCGTTTGGGGGAGCTTGCTGCATGCAAATTGGCTACCGTGTTTCCTACATTACAACATTAACTACACTTCAAAAGTTATAAAGTGCATTGTTACAGTGATTGTAAAAGGCACTATATAAATGCAAGCCTTTTCTTTTATTTTAATTGATTCCTTTTGAGATCTGATCTCGCATCTGTGAAAATTTGAGGTTATGCACTTTCCCAGGAAGAATACAGGAGCTGAATATTGCATCAATGGAGAAAAACAGCAGCATAGAGGGATAAATCACAAAAATCTGGCATACAGAATCAGCAGGAAATAAGGAAGGCAAATGGAATTTTGGCCTTTATTTCAAAGGGAATGGAGGTCTTGCTAAAACTATACAAGTCACTGGTGAGACGACAATTAGAATACAGTGAAAAGTTTTGGACCCCTTACCTGCAGAAAGATATACTGACATTGGAGAAAGTCCAGAGAAGTTCACTTGGCTGATCCAAGGTACGCTCCGGTTTCCTCCCACACTCCAAAGATGTGCAGGCTAGGTGGATTGGCCATGCTAAATTGCCCCATAGTGTCCAGGGATGTGTAGATTAGGTGGGTTATAGGGAGATGGGTCTGGATGGGATGCTCTGAGGGTCAGTGTGGGTGTGTTGGGCCGAAGGACCTGTTTCCACACTGTAGGGATTCTGTGAACTATGGAGGGACTGTCTTATGAGGAAATGTTGAGTAGGTTGCGCCTGTATCCACTGGAATTTAGAAGAATGAGAAGAAACCTTATTGAAACACACAAGATCCGTCCGGGGCTTGACAGAGTACATGTGCAAAGGTTGTTTCACCTTGTGGGAGAGTCTGGGATCAGAAGAACATAATCTCAGAAAGCGATCTAAAGTGATCTAAAGCAAAAGAAGCAAGACTAAATTAAGGAAACGTGTTTTGCTCAGCGAGTAGTTAGGGTATGGAATGCACTGTCCGGAAGGGATATTAGTTCGTCATAATGTATCCCTGGCTGGGGGCCTCGAACAAAGGACACAATAAAGGCTTGACCTGAGATTGAAGAGGAAATTCTTCACTCAGGCAGTAGAGAATCTTTGGAATTCCCTACCTCAGATGGCTGTGGAGGCTGTTACTAGCTATGTTCAAGACATAGATCAATAGATGGTTACACATCAAAGACTTGAAGGGGTATGGGGTTAGTGCAAGAATATGGTGCTGAGGTTGAATTTTGGCCATGATCTAGTTGAAAGGCTTCAGGGCAGAATGGCCCTGCTTCTATTTCTTATGTTTCCCTGTCAGACAAGGAAGGGAGAACATTGAGGGCAGCACAGGTGTTAAGCAAGCCTATGGCAGTGTTATTCTGATGTCAATGTGCATTCCATGGGCATGTTTCAAACACAAATTAAGGACAAGCAGAATGGCACAGCGAGAGTGTACTGGGCCCTTAACCCAGAGGTCGATGGATCGAAACCATCCTCTGCTATATGTTACATGCGAAGGTCACTTACAGCAGTGTTCTTCTGTAACAGCTTTCTGTTCTGTGCCCTGAAACACGGTGGCTCAGTGGTTAGCACTGCTGCCTCACAGATCCAGGGACCCAGGTTCAATTCCACCCTCAAGTGACTGTGTAAAGTTTGCATGTTCTCCCCGTTTCTGCCTGGTTGTCCGATTTCCTCCCACAATCCAAAGATGTGCAAGTTAGGTTGATTGGCTGGGGGATAGGTCTGGGTGGGATGCTTTTCAGAGTGGGGGTCAGGTGTTGGACCAAATGACCTGTTTCCATAGTGTAGGGGTTCTATGGTTCAATGACCATTCAAAATGGGCAACCTGCAGAACCCCTTGAAGGATTAACTGTGCAAACACATCTGTGGTGTGGTACAGCAATAAATCTGATTGACTAGGAAGCTATGCAGGTTTGATTCTTTGGTTTCCATTGAGTTGCCTCGTTTTTGATGTCAGGTGTAACAATTGATCTCAATCTCAGTGGAGAAAAGAGTCAGATTCAAGATGACCATTCCTTTCCCAACCCCCTGATCAAACAGCCTGCCATCTCTCACCGTCCTTAGGAAACAGTGAGGAAAGATAGCGCTGAAATTTTAAAACTATTGTCCTTTTCTCTAATGCTATTAATTATTCTGGCCTGGTTATGATACTTCTTACTTTCTTTTTACTTTTTAAGATTAATTGAAGGGATATGAGGTTCCTGGAGAAGGCCAGCATTAATTGCCCAACTCTAACTGCCCTTGAAAAGTTGGCAGTGGGCTGTTTCCTTGAACTGCCGCAGTCCACATGGGGTGAGAACACCCACTGTGCTGTTAGGGAGGGAGTTCCAGGAATTTTATCCAGTGAGAGTGAACGATCCCTGCTGCAATGTACACAAAGAAATTCCACCAGGGAACCATCCTAAAGTAATGTTGTTCAAAGTATTTTTGAGGACAGGTTAAATATTGTATAACAAAATTCATACAGCACCGATCATTAGTGGACTTTGAACTGACATATTTTGAACAATAATCAGGCAATAGAAAGACACAGTAGGTTAATCCTAATGTGAAAGTGAGGCCCACACTTGTATTGTAATGTCAAGTCAATGCTAAACTCCTGTGCAAATTGATATTAAATGAGGACAAAGTCAGACATGGCTAAGATGCCCCTCCTCAC